TGTCTCCTCTTCTGAAAGTTGCTGCTGTGTGAGATTGATGATCGTCCGCAGAAGAAAACTTTAGAATTTAGTTCATCTTATTGTTGTTGTTGTTGTTGTTGTGTACCTTCAAGTTATTTCCAATTTATAGCAACAATTTATAGCTCAGGTCTTGCAAACTTAGTGCTGTGGCTTCCCAGCCCCTCTAATGTGGCCTTCCTCTTTTCCTAATGCCTTCCACTTTCCTGTGCATTATGGTCTTTTCAAATGTCATCTCATAATGTGTCCAAAGTACAATAGCCTCAGTTTAGTCCTTTTTGCTTTTAGAGACAGGCTTTAGGGACCATTTATTTGTCTTTTTGACACTCCACAATATCTGTGGAACTCTTCTCCAGCACCATATTAGAAATGTTTCTTTTCCTGTTATTTCCACCCTCCCCCCAAATATTTCGTTTCCTTTCCTGTCATTTTTTATTTATTTCATAGAAATCAATCTAAGCAATTTATTTAAGAGATTTATATAATTTATATAAGAGCGTTAATTCTCTTACTGTCAGTCACTGACTTGGCTGTTATTATTTTAAACTGCTAGGGATATGTAGAGGGTGCTTCCAACACTTTCCACATCCTACAGGTCCAAATAACTTGGCTCAGCTGGGGTGTTGTTTGACTAAGGGTGCATCTACACTGTAGAAATAATGCCGTTTGACACCACTTTAACTGCTATGGCTTCATCCTACCAAATCCTGGGATTTTGTGGTTTCCTGATGCACCTACACTGTTTGGTGGAGAAGTCGACACCTTGCAAAACTACAAATCCCTGGATGGAAAGTGGTGTCATCCTACACCTACCCAGTGGATGAACTTGGGAAGTCACATACTCCCAGCCTCAGAGAAAGGCAATGGCAAACCTCCTCCAAAATCTTGCCAAGCAAACCCATGATAGGTTTGCCTTAGGAATGCTATAAATTGGAAACGACTTGAAGGCACACAACAACAACAACAGATGAACCTTTGGCTGTTGTTATTTTTAGCTGCCAGGGATATGTAGAGGGTGCTTCCAGAACTTTCCACCTCCTGGGTGTCTAAATAACTTGGCTCACTTGCGGTGTTCTTTGACTAAGGGATGCACCCTTCTACACTGTAGAAATAATTCAGTTTGACACCCCTTTAACTGCCATGGCTCCATCCTACAGAATCCTGGGTTTTTGTAGTTTTGTGAGGCACCAGCACTCTTTGGCAAAGAAGGCTAAAGATCTTGTAAAACTCCAAATCCCAGGATCCCATAGGATGGAGCGACAGAACATAAAGTAATAGAAACAACAGAGCCATGTATTATGCCAGTGCTCATACTACAGGGACATCCGCCTCAGTCTTATTTCACTTCTATTCCATAAATACCAAGGACACACCAGTCAGTTTTATATCTCTCTGTTGCTTTCAGACCTCAACCCTGATACAACATATAGGACCTTATCACACGGGGGTCCCAAGCAGAAGGTATCCAAAGCTAATACGTATTTTTTTTCCGTGTGTTTACACATATCCAAAGGCAATCCAAAGCTAATACGTATTTTTTTTCTGTGT